TGTTAATTATCGTAATAGATTTCACACAGCGGACTGTCGAGCTTGGACGAGCTTATAGTGTCTCGCGTTCAACAGTATACAGTATGTCCCCGGGTCGCATATTTATACGAACGATATTGCGTAAACAGCATATGATATCGCAAATTCGTCTGGTAAACAGCATCCGTGTTTCCAAATTTTAACTGCTTTAACAAGTCTTATAAACACCAGACGATATCGCAAAATTTATTAATGGCTCGTAATCAGCATTCAGGATCGCAAATTTTGTTTGTTAACACAAATTAAACGAGCTAAAAAATAAAAAGGGGTTTTTCAAGCGTTTTTTTCCAATAACAACCACACATATTGCTGCTTAACTTTGGTGACCGTACGAAAAAATACACGTTGACGTGCTGTTGATTCATAAACATTTCTATTATTATAGAGGACTATAAAGTTAAACCTAAATCGTGTCGGGAAATCAACAGAAAATAGATGACACTATTTTATGTTCATCCAACTTACATACGTATGCAAATTACTTAAAACAAAATAGAGATACAATATATTTTCCATAGATAGAGATAACTCAATATAAATTTCTAATTTCTAATACCTAACTTTTCTTAAAAAAGAAGATGTGTCCTTTACTATAAGCAGTATTCAAGAAGGAACTCATTTTTTTCTTGATCTTCTTGTACTAGAATAAGTCAAATTTTACCTGCAAAGAAACTACACTTAATTTTCGAACTAAAGCTGGCCATTCTCTAGGCATTGGGGGGCAACCAATCAAAATGTCCTGGAAATATAAAACATTTTGTAACTTTATTCATTTCAGTTATTTTTGGTATCGATAATCTCTTTTTTAAAGTTAATTTGTTTTGGGTAATTACTCTTGTTAATTTCTGTAACAATTTCACTCAATTTCGTTCTTTTTTAACTCAATTTCTTCCTTTTTAACGAAACGTGTTCTGATAATTTCTTTATCTATTAACTTATATACTCGTGGTTTGGGGGCAAATTTATTTTTTTTTTGGAAAATATTATTTAGTACTATATCCTTTGGTAGACATCTTGCACTTGCGAATTTTGCGATCTTGAATGCTGATTACGAGCAACCAAAATTTGGAATCACGGATGCTATTTACTAGACGGATTTGCGATATCGTATGCTGTTTACGCGGTATCGTTCGGCCTAGAACCGAATCGCGATCATGAACGTTGTTTACAAATATACCCCCGGGTAGTCTTTACAAGAGCAAAACCTTTTTTGTTTTAACTTTTTAAAAACATAATTCTTCATTAAAAGTTTTACTTTACTTGTACTAATCCCGTTTATACTGTTCCAAATTTCCATACCGTTTTAGAGAACAATATAGAAACATGGATATTGTTTTTCAAAAGTCTTCTTCTTCTACCTACTTGAGATTTGTCGATCTGTTAGTTTTAAGGTTGCCACTAACTGGACCAGAACCTTTCTGCTTCCCAATTGGAAACCAGCTTAAAACAGAATTCAAGAACCTAAAAAACTCCATCCGTAACCTGGAATGGGAATCCTCCAACGGCCAAGTCCAAGTCCCAATCACTGGGCGATTTTGTAGCCAAGAACAGTTAACCTAATAGAACTGCTCATTCAGCCAAAAGTGTCCGCCAGGTGCATGCGAAAACTACTCGCTTTGTGACGTCATTGTAGCCATAGTTATTAGTCCATAGTTATAGCCATAGTTATTAGTCCTTATCCGGCAACCAATAATACACACACGTGCATTATTGGTTACCGAATGCAAACCGTTCATTATTTTATTTATTTATTTAAACACCTTATATGTATGCAGTAAAGAAAATTAACTGTATAAATCGTATTAAATACTCGGATAATGCATTTTTAAGAACAGCAGGTCCCAGCATCACCTTTTGCAAGCATTCTTTTTAGAGTACTTCCATATTTTGCTTTAAAATAATTAATAAACAAAATCGTGGGCACTTAGTATGCACTTTGTCACAATCCACAACACAAAATGAACGTATTTATACACTCTATAGTTCTAAAAACTTTAAAGACACCTTTTTCACATTTAAAATTGCCAAATAATTAACCATCATGACAAGGTCACGAAGGCTTTGACAAGGGCTACAATGACGTCACAACTGTCAGCTGAAGCGCGGGAAGAGGCGAACGTACGTCTTATGAGGATGAGCAATCCTATTAGTTTACCGTTCTTGTTTTGTAGCAACCAAGTTGAGCGATAAAATCGTTTCTAAATTTCTTGGAAATTTGGTTGCTTGGAACGGACCATTTATAAGACGATATTCAAGCAATTTGGTTGTCAATAAGTTTTTCTGGAAATTAATTTCAGTTGCTGTTTTTTTAGTAGAGTGCTTGGTTACATAAAGTGTAAATACGATTGAAGATAATGGAAAGATGGTGGCGGCAGCAGAAGTAATAGTGATTTTAACCCAAAAGCAACGACGACAAACAAAGAAAAAGAGGAGGCTTTGGAGTAGGAATTGGCTGCTTAAAAGAAGTCAGTTTTCTCATATGTCCCTCGTTCATGAACTTAGGACGGCTTATTTTCTAAAGACGTGAAAAAAACGGGTATACTTCAATAAATTTTTTAAAAAGGGTTAAAAAAAAATTAAAAACTCTTTCGTACAGTCAAGTTGTTCACTTTTCTCAGAATTTTCTTCCATATTAATTTCTGGTTATAAAAACCAACGAGAACAAGACTCGTACAAGACGAAGACGTAGAAAATACAAAAATTACGCCCAAATCGATAATTTCCGACACTCTTGTTCACGTACTAAATAATAAAAATAGTTGAGCAACCCGTTTGCCGACATCCACTGATTGGGGAATCCTCGTACAACCTCTTTACATTGCTGGCAATCGTAACCCGATTCACCTTCCGCACTGTAAATCAAAAGATTGCTTGGCAACCACGGTATCGCTTTCAATTTGATTGAAATGGCGCACTAACCTGGAGATCAAAAAATCACAATGAAAATGATCCTACTGCTGAAACAGAGACCTCTGCCAATCTAGTATTTCCAAAGCAACCGAAAATGAAGAAAAATTGCAACATTGCGTCAAACCATTTGTTGAATTGGATACAACTTTTGAAAAGTATCAAGACTTAGCTATATGGTCAGAGTGTATCGATAACGATTTGATTAAACTATGTCTAGTTAAAAATTTTACATATTTTCAAAATTATGACCATAATAATAGATATCCTAAATCTGAAATTACATGTGAAAAGCACACAAGACGTTTTTCCAATAGTTGTTTTTCAAAGGCTCTGTGAAACGGACAACAGATAAAGGTGCGTATTCATTATCCGAACGAACGAACGAACGAATGTTCGCTAGTGGTATGGACGGGGACCGTACGATACCGAACGCCTTTGATGTACCGACTCGAAACGGATGGCCGAGCGAACGAACGAACGGACGGCCGCATGCGTTCGGTCCCCGTCTAAATATACCGCACTTTCATTCGTTCGTTCGTTCGTTCGTTCGTTCGTTCGGATAATGAATACGCACCTTAAAAAGAAAATGACTTTGTTACTCACCAATTAGCGGAATGTTTTTTTTTGTATTGCATGTAAACCGTTCTCAAATGTACAACCATAGCTTAAAACCGGACTTAACGATTGGTCTAATATTTTGCGAATACTGGATATGCACCAGGAAAGTAATTCATCACAAGATTTCAATTTTAACATGGTTTTCAAGAAAGACCAATAAACATACTATTGACAGAGAACTAGAGGAGCAAACTAAAAAAGAAATACTACAACCCTATAACGAAAGGCTTTTGACATTCATACCCATAGAAAATCACACCTCAGAATACTTGTTTCAACAGATATCAGAATTTTTAAATATATGTGGTCTTTCTCTGCAAAATATTAGAGGACAGGCATACGACAATGCAGCCAACATGAGTGGTCGGTATAATGGAGTTCAGGCTCGGTTTTAATGCAATAAATAAATTTGCAGATTTTATACCTTGTTCGGCACATTCACTAAATCTGGTGGGGGTTGAAGCTGTAAAATTAATTCCAGAAGTCGACTTATGGTATTATTTATTTAAATATACTATTTTGGTATTATCCAATTCCAATCCCTTTATGTATTTTTCTCCGCGTCACCCCATAGATGGAATATTGTATCAACAATAGCTAAGCTGCAATACAGTCTTAAATCTTTTAGTGTAACAAGATGGTGTGCTCATTATGAGGCTGTTAGAGCACTTAAACTTGGATATGAAGATATTTTAAAAACATTAAAGCATATTTACATGGATGAAAGAGAAAAAAACTGATTGCAGAAATGAAGCCAAATACTTAATACAAAAAATGATTAAATTAGAATTTGCCATGTTAACATTAATTTGGGAACAGGTTCTAGAGTGCTTTAATAAGGTATCTACTAAATTGCAATCACCTGGTTTGGATATACAAGGATACCATTTATTAAATGCTTTAAGAGCAGTTTTTACAAGATATTAGAAATAAATCTGAGCTAGAAGTTGATAAATCAGAAGCAAATGCAAAAGAATTAAGCGAATATGTCGAAAAAGAATTTGCTGAATCTAACAAACCAATATTTACCTATTCATATTTACGTACTTTTTTATTTTGTCTCATTTTAATTTTAATAAATTTTAAAAGAAAACGTCAGTTTTATTTTACTTTTCAAAATAAAACTAGCAGTTACAAAGGGTGTTAAAGTTTGAAAAAAAAATATTATTATGTTTTTTAATAACTCGACTTAAGGCGTAGGGGTCCCGAAAAATCCTATATCTCCTATCTACAATATGCAATGGTTGATTTTTTCAATAACAGCTTATACGTACGTTATACAAAGTGAATTGATATGGCTAGTTAAATCTGATTGTACATTCCGATAAAAATTACATTTCATTGCGTTTCTACTAAATCTGCTGCTGATTACCCCGATTCAAATTTTAGATTATTTGTTTTTAAAATGGTTTATAATGATGTACAGTATTTGATTACACAAAGCAACATGAACATTGTAATCTTTTTATATTCAGGTAAGGGATATATATTTTCAACTTAACATAATTTTAAATTAGTGCACAAGTTATTGAGGCTATACCGTTTAATATTTTTGTTGCCAAGAACTGATCTTAATTTAATTTTATAAATGGAATTCTAGGTTGTAGATTGAATAGAAAAGTTAATCACCGCGACCTTATAGACCTATTGAGTTCCCCTTTCTTGAGATATAACTTATCATACAGTCTCAGGACTTTGACAAAAGCCAGTAAATAAGACGGTTTTAGAGATGTTAGTTCTCCATCTCCCATATTAGTAGTACTAAAGTTTAGGGCACAAATGGTTGTCGTCTCGGCGCACTCAGTGATAAGGGCTCAAACGCACTGACGACCAGGTCGCAGCGACCAGCATTTTATTCAATGTTATTACTGCGACCAGTAATAATAATGAATCAAATTGTGGTCGCTGCGACTTGGTCGTCAGTGCGTTTGAGCCATAAGGTATTCTGATGTTCCTCCATTTTCCCCACAGAATCTGCATTCGCCGTTGTTTCTCAGCTTCAATCTACTGAGGTGTTCATTGAGGAGACAGTCTCTTGTTAAAAACCCCATGGCAATCCGATTCTTCTTACTTAAATCTAGAAAGATCTTTGATTTTTCTCAGTTGTAAATAAATTTATTTGGGTGTCTTAGAACCTTGGAGAATTCCCATTCCAGGTTACGGATGAAATCTTCCAGGTTCTTGAGTTTCGCTTTATTTCTCTCTACTTTATGTTGAATTCCACTTGGGAAGAAGCTGTTGGGAAAAGTGTTCGCTCGTTGTATAGGTATACGGGTTTCTCACCGTAGCCGTTCGTTAGAAGTTTTTGAGGTTAGGAAAAACTTAGAAGTTTGAAATTTTGAGACTTAGGGTTATTTAAAATTTCCTTTCATTTAAAAATATTTTCAAGGTCATACCACTTGTTAGTTGCCATACCACTTGTAAGTTGCCATTAACTTCCTTATTTCAAATGGAACACCCTGTATATTATTTAATTTTTGGAGTTCCCAGAAAATTTTATGATGAGTTTCATTAAATTTACCTATACCTATTTTCAACTGTTTCTCAGATATCTTGATTTATTTGAAAATTTTTACATTTTTACCCCTATTTTTAACAGTGGATCTTTTATTCATTTTGAATTGGTGATAAACGCTTCTGCGGTAAACTGGAGCAGAGGACTAATACTTTCGAAGTCCATATTGACAACTAATTTATCTCATACAGGGTGTCCAAAATTCGATAACTGATTAGATTATTTTCAAACTCAAAAAAGTTCATTTTTTCAAATGAGACACCCTATATATTTTTCGATAGTTGGATGCAGAATTCAGTTCTGCATCGATTTGCTATAACTTTCCCTATACCCATTTTCAACGGTTTTCTTTTTAATCCGTATATTTTACTTTAACTCAATTTTTGGCAGAATCGACAATATCGTTTGTGTTTTTTAAAATAAAATAATTATGTTAAATTAATGAAATTGAATGTAATTAGAACATACGAACAAAACAGGAACAAAATATAATATTATACAAGGTATATAAAAATGTTTTGGTTTTGTTTTTTTTTAACGCTTTTTAGAACAAAATGTTAAACAGAAAAGTTATAAGGAAGGTTAAGAAGCACATTTTAAAATTACTGTAGAGTATACAGGGTACATCAAAAAATGTGTGTGATTTGTGATTGTTGTTCGGATATAACATATATTTTTAATGAGAATACCCTATTTTTATTTTATAATTAGATTCTACGTACAATTCGGTAACTAATTCGGTTTTTTGTATATCAAAGGTCACAGTGCAGTAACTCGTATCATTTTTGATACGATTTTCCAGGAAATCCCCAAAACATACCCAATTTTACATTAAATTATTATATTTTTTTAAACGAATTATTATCTTATAGAGCCGAGTTATCAATACTTTATTATCAAATGAAATATTTTGAATTATTTTGTGAAAATATCGCAAAAATTGTTTTATAATTAATACGAGATCCTGCCTTGTGACCCTCGATATGATATTATATATTAAAATTAATAGATTTAGAGAAATGTTAGATTTCGATACGGTAAAAATTATCAGTGATGCAAAATTTGTAGATTCTATCAGAAAAAATTATAACACAAACTTTTTTACTGGTGCGACTAATCCCGGTTATACACTGCGCGTTTTTGTGGTTGCCGCAGAAACGCGCGGCACCGGCATCGGCATCGACCTTAAATAAACTACACAGAGCGTCTGCGCCAGTGTTTCTGCGACATAACAGTCGCAAAAACGCACAGTGTACCACCGGGCTAAAACAACTGCCACTGCCGACCAGGGCCATGTAAGTTAAATATTCAAAATCCAGCAAAAATTTTCGATTCACGACGGCTGTTGGCGCTCATCGTCAAAGTAATGGAAAAATGTTTGTACAGGGATTTTCCTTACAGACAATACGACGTGAGCTACGACCAGGACCAATCAGAACGATCAGTCTTTCTTAGACAGCCCTGAAGTGTGTGTTAGTTTCTGTTGTGATAAGTGTGGTTGTGTTTGCAGTTTGATTTTTCGGTTTTGATATTATGTTAAAATTAATTTTGAAGTATTGTATCACCTGTTTTTATGTAATAGTACTTTTTTAGTTCTATGATCTGATATGTTATGACTTGTTAATGTTCGTTTAACAATGTTATACCAAAGAGGTTATACTTAATATATCAATTTGCATTAATAACTTTTTTATCAATAAACTTAGTAGATTTTCAGATTATTTAATTCCTTTTGTTTCCGTTTGTAATTTTATTTTTAAAACATGTTATGTGATTGTTTGACATAATAAGCGAATAAAAATAATTAAAATAAAAAAGTGTATTTTACAATTGTCCCGCCTGTTCCCCCGGCACCGCACCCCTTTGGCTATCCTATAAACGTCCTCTACAACGAGAGATGGCGACACGAAAATGGAACCGTTTTATTACAAGTAACTTGGGCTTCTTTTTCGTTAGTATATTCTGTGCCGCCGACTACGATTTTTCGCTATCGCAGTTGAGGTGTGCTTTCGGTGCCACATCGAGCCCGGTGCGTCTCGATCTAGAATCGAGACGCACCGATTAAAGAAAGAGAAACAGACAGTGAAACAGATTAATTATAGTTATTATGTTTCGTATATGATATAGCATAGGCCTGAATAAGTACAAATAACTATTTTTCTGCAAAATAGAAACCCTGAATAATTTTTAAATTTCTCATTTTTATAAAAAAATTATTTTTGAAATTTCAACCAAAGAAATAGAAATATACCCAGCTATATATGATTCGAGGATAACAATTATTATAAAAAGTTGCCTAATCAGGAAGAAATAAAATTCTTATAATATTCATCTGCGTAATTGGAAGGCTATTGTTTATTTCTTCTATTGTTGGTAAAAGCAGCGACTGCGATTTAACTGGTCCTAGCAGTCGAGACGCAGCCGATGCGACCCGATCACAGACGAGTTCAACGATTTAGTATTAGGGGGTATTAGTATACAAACTACATACCTGTACCCGAGCCTGTACCCTAGAAGTTCCCTATAGTTTGCTTCTGGGGTAGATACGTTGAAGCAGTCGACAGTCGTAGCCGTCAGTAAGTAAGTAAAAATAAAAACATTACTTTTCATATTGTTGTATCTGTATGTATTATGAAAACATTTCCAAAACACCTTTTTACGTAGAATTTAATGGTTTAAGTATATTTTTTAAAATTAATAATAAGTTTCGAGTTATTACTAGAAAAAATAATTTTTTGTTTAGGACACTCTAAGAATATTTTTAATTAAATGAAAAGAATTTAAAATTACCTTTCCAAAAATATATACAGGGTGTCCCAGAAATAAGTACAAATATTTTAAGAGGTGGCAGATCTCGATAAAAGAAACATATTTTCTCTTTATCGATTTTCAAATAAATCCAAAATAACGGAGTTATTTTACTTTGACATTTTCCAAAAAAAAATATTTTTTGCTAAAATTTTGAGAACCACTGGATCTTTTCTGAATTTTCTTTCTAGTAAATTTAATCTAATACCTATGTTGCCATATTATCAAGAAATTATGTTTTTTAACTAAAAACTAAAAAAAAAATCCAAAAAATTTTTCAAAAAATTTCGAATTTTCAAATTTTTTTTTTCGCGAAAAAAACCTCATAGGCGTGTTTCTGGGGTTGAACTATACTATCAGTTAAAATATTTGCACTTATTTGTGGGACATCCTGTATAGCACACTTAATATTTTGTTATAATCCCCTTTGAAATATAGAATTTTTAAAAGTTCGTCACTTTTATCTAGTAGGCTGTGGACCTCTTATTGATAATCTGCCCCTAATCGAAAAACAAAAATTATACAGGGTGTCTAATTTACTTTTATATTATTATTATTATTTCTAAATCTGTGCCATCTCTCGTGGGGAGATTCCTCACGTAAAAATTTTTTGGATTTTTTTTTAGTTTTTAATTAAAAAACCTAATTTCTTGATAATATGGCAACATAGATATTAGATTAAATTTACAAGAAAAAAAATCCAGAAAAGATCCAGCGGTTTTCAAAATTTTAGCAAAAAATCATGTTTTTTCGAAATTTTCAAAGTAAAATAAATCCGTTATTTTGAACTTATTTGAAAAACGAAAAAGAGAAAATATGTTTCTTTTATCGAGATTTACCACAACATAAAATACTTGCACTTATTTCTGGGACACCCTGTATATTCGAAAAAATCGAAAACGAAAACTTATTTTTCCAGCAAGACAAAGCACCGTCTCAGAATGCTGAAGTTATCAGCAAATTTTTGCAGCCAATTTCGAGAATAATTGAATATCTAACCAAGATCCCAGGCGTTGGACATCGAGGCCGGCGCGGCGGACTTAGTTCCTATGGATTTTTATTTTTGCGGAAGAATAAAGGTTCTTATTTTTAAATTGCCCATATATAATCTAGGCAAGAATTAGAACTACTTATACGAGGGTATCTTTCATC